CAGGTACTTCTCTCCATTGTTAGATGGAGCGTATTTGTCTTCTGCTGGCGTCACTGTATACTTTTCGTCTACTTTCTGCACAGCGTACTTCTTCAGATCCCTGTGAATGGTGCACACCTCTCCGTCTTTCTGCAGCAAGGATTTCTCCCCATCTTTTCGCAACAGGTACTTCTCTCCATCCTTGTGGAGGAGATACCTCTCTCCGTCCTTCTGAAGCATGTAGCTGACGCCGTCTTTCTTCAAGGAGAACCTCTCCCCGTCTCTTGTAAGGTGTAGTACTCACGCTCCCTCTGGCCATTGTGCGTCTCTACGTCTTTTTGTCGTTTGTCGTCAGCCCGAGATAGGGAGTGTTGTCGCACTGGCTCACGGTTGCGTTCATTGTTCTGGATCTCGGGCCGGGTCAGGACTCTGTGGTTCAGTAAGTTGTTCAACTCCTGAGGTGTCCGTTGGTCCACTTTCAACTTGTCCAGTCTGGGATGAAAGAAAGACAGGAATGTGACAAAGAATAAAGGAAAGAGTTTTCTATGAGATTTGAAAGATGACTTAAGTGTCAGAAGTCCTATGTTTGTCTGACAGACATTCTATCTCGGTCATCATTCCTTTCTGGCCTTCCACTTCTTAGACTTTTCTGATCTCTGTCAGAAATCCCTGACAGTGCAGGGAGTCCTGGCCAACTGGGTACTGTGTTAACAAGGAATAATTATGGTCGTTAGGGTTGCAGCTAACTTCATATTTACATCCAATACTTTAAAGCTGAAAATATTTCCCTCAGTGTGATGCTCACTGAAAACATTAGATCAAGCACACACTGTACACAATCTACTGTATATGGGATACTATTGTGTAGGATGGAGAATAAGCAGTTTTTCTAACTTTCAAACGTTTTTAATTTAGCAATCTTCTGACGCTTCATCGCAACATCCCTATGACAAAAAACATGGGCAGTCAGATGATCAGTTAGATCAGACAAGTAAACAAGCAAACATCTTTACTAGACGATCTAAACCCCTTTATTTGGAGGTCAAACCTTTCTTTTCTACCACCAAAACTGTAGCCCCAAAGGGTAACTTTGTTATTTTAAACCTAGACCCTGTTTTCCCATGTTTTTGTGTGTATGTGACTAATTTGGACAACCCTTTTTGAAATTGGTCCGGTATTGAGCAAGTCAGCAGAAGTGAAACATGACTGCAATGTAATCCTTGCGGGCAATTGCCTCATTATACAGTAGTACCTCCCAAAAGATAGGAGTGGCTGGTCTGGCACCACCTACCTGTTAGCTTTTTATTTTTTGTCAAAGGAGTCTGGTGACGTTGACTGTTTCTGGTTAAACAAAAAGGATTTTTCTTTTAAAAAAAGTCTGTAGGGATACTTTGCATCATGTTGTCACTTGACACTTAATAAAAATTTGAGCCTGTCAGCTTTTTAGTAGACAGACTCTGACCGTTGCAGTCCTGTGTCACTGCTGCTCGCTCAATACTGGAACAATTTCAAAAAATATTGTTCTAATTAGTCACATAGACACAAAACCCAGAAAAGGAGTACAACAGTGAGAGAATGAAACAAAAATGACTTACAATAAATACAAAGGGCTATGAATACTGCAACATGTGCAACATGCATAAATCAAATAGCTTTCTATTGTCCATAGCAGAATAAAGCATCACCAAGGCAGACAACACTTGGATGTATAAGCAACATAAACACACACACCTTAAAGCAAAAAGAGAGACTGCAATGTTTTTGAATACCGCATACTAACTCTAACTGCTAACTCGTTCATTCTCAGTGAAGGTTTTAGCCAGTTCACTGTAGATGATAAGTCAAATTCATTCCACCAGTTGATGGGTGCCTCATACCACACAACAGCAGACCACCAAAACGCTGAAACACAGACCCACACAATGCTGAACCAGAACCAAAGACACAACCATAAAACTTAGGCTGCATTATCATCTCTAATTCCTAATTCTTATCATTTTAACTTTAAAGTTTCAACTTAATCTATTTTTGCAAATATCTTCTTTCCTCTTGCTCATGTTGACTGTGAATACAATGTAATATAATGTTCAATAAAGCAGTAGTCAGACATTATTGGGGTTTTGGGGATTGTTGGATCTCTTCCCTGCTCTGTATAAAAAGTGCAATGAGATGACTTTTGAATTGGCGTTACATAAAAAAACTGAAACTGAATAAATTTGAAATAACAAACCTGGATTTGAACATTTACCGGGGCAGGTAAAACTTCTGAATTCCAGAGTGAAAACATATGGCTGCTTATTTTAAAAAGACTCACAAAAGATTTCAAATGAAATAATAAACTCTATATTGAAGTCAAAATGTTTCTCTACAATAACTAATCAATTTCACTGCTCATGCCTGAGCGCCAGTGTGAGCTGACAATTAGATAAAATATTAGATGGGCTCTCAGCTAGCTAACATTAGATGGCTAATTTTAAGTAAAAGAAATGCTAATTATGAAACTCTGAAGGTAGGAAAGTGTCTTAAAGCAGCTAGATAGCAAACTACTGACATTAACCTACAGTGTAACCACCAGCGTGTGGTTGACTGGACAGGAGCAGCTGCAGGTGCGAGTGATGTGGGTAGACAGATGTTCAACTAACGTCAAAGTTTGGAAATGGTCTATTTTAGGGGTGTCTGAAATCGTATTTTAAGATTCTTGAATATAAGGCATGAGTATGGGAAATATATTGTAATATTTACAAATACAGGTATGAAAGACCCCCCTGAACTGTTGTTTTTGCCTCTTTTAGGGGGGTCCAAGCCTTAACTAGGGGGGGGTCAGACCTCCCCGATCCCCCCCGTAATTCAAACCATGGGCGTAACCCCTTAACACAAAAATGTAAATCAAGCTGCATTAAATCAGTGATTAAAGAAGGAAAACTGCCATTTTTTAATCTCTTTTTATACCTTTGTATAAAAAAAAATGCTACTGGGAGGAGGACTGTGTCCCTGCAGTCTGCTGCCAGTTTATTCAATCCAACATATGTCACAAAATGCTTTCCCTTTTAAATTATGGTCCTGTCACTCAGTGTAATAAATGAACTGTGAATATGATGAGCTCCTTCATGGAACACAATATTACCCTGTATACTGTGTCTCTTAGTTGAGGAGTGAATAAGAGGGAACTCTTAACAAGGCAAGGACATGACATTAGAGCACAGGACACAGGACATGAATATTAGAGCACTCTAATCTGGAGAATCTAAATATTTGGTTGCACCATGGTGATTGTGTGTCTCATATTTCATTTGTGTGTGGGCACCTCCCTGTAGTGAGTACTGACCTTCTGACAGGTTCAGTGTGAACGAGGGCAGCATCCGTCATAACTTTCATCCAGGACTCCATCTCTTTGGCTGTGTCAGTGCAGAAATAATAGGTCCGCATGTTGGGGTGAGTGGCCTAGCAGAGTACGGAGGGGGGGTAATAATGACAGTGAGAGAGAGATAAACAGTAGGAGGAGGAGGAGACAGAGAGAGAGAGGGCCAGAGAGAGGAGACACAACAGCAGTGTGAAAAACAGTGCTGGATGGTGACCATGAGAAACCAGCAGAGTCTTTACATCATTCCTGGCAGAGGAGCGTGTTTATGTACAGTATGAGTGAGTGTGCGTGTGAAGAATGACACTGAGGTGCCCAGCTAACTTCCTATATGTCATGATGTGGTTCTCTGCTTTTGCCTGCAGGCATAAAGCCTGGAAGTAGAGGAATCAGTTAGCATGACACACCTACCAATACCTCTAAAGCTCACTGATTAACAAGCTGCATTACTTTTCCTCAACATGAAGGGGCTATTTCTTTTGGTGCAGTGAATGTGCATACCGTCCCCAAACCTTTTTGTCACGACACTTGTGTTTTACCTTGAAGGCGTATTTCCTGCTGATGTGGTCATCCACCGACAACATGGAGATGTGGAAGCTGGGAAGCAGGATACTTCCCAGGATGCTATCCTCTTTCTCATCTTCACCAAAGAAATCAGAAGAATAGAAATATGTTGACGTATTAGAGTGGAACACTTGCATTCCAATCGACCTACACTAAACTAAGTGGAGTCTGGATCTATCAGGCTCAGGTTCAGTAACAAATTATCTGTAGATCAAATAAGGAATTTAATTGGTAACACATAACACTAAATCTTCAGGTTTGCTAGGCCTGATATTTTTACGTTTGTTTGTTTGTTTGGCTTTAACTGTTACAAGAAGGAGGTCTACCTTTATCTGGTCTACAGTGTGATGAATGACAGATGATGATGGTAACACACACACGTTACTGTTTTATTTATTTATTTATTTATTTTATATATCTTTATTTTTTAACACACACACGCACACACACGCTTACTGTTTTATTTATTTATTTTAATTTAATATATTTTTATTTTTAACACAAACACACACACGCTTACTGTTTCATTTTATTTTTTTAACACACACACACACACACACACATACACTTACTGTTTTATTTATTTATTTTATTTTTAATATATTTTTAGTTTTTAACACACACACGCACACACACGCTTACTGTTTTATTTATTTATTTTAATTTTAATATATTTTTATTTTTTAACAAAACACACACGCGCTTACTGTTTTATTTTATTTTATTTTTTTAACACACACACGCATGCTTACTGTTTTGTTTATTGTATTTTTTTTTTATATATTTTTATTTTTTTAACACAAACACACATACACTTTAATTACTTGTTTAATGAAATGTATGGATGTAAGTGTTCCTATGTTGTATGTATGATGCTTTGGCAATATTGTTGTTACACATTCATGCCAATAAAGCTAATTTGAATTGAATTGAATTGAAAATTGATCAGTCTTATCAGACCACAGAGACAGAGAGAGAATGATGTGATTGGACGTTCATACCAGCTTGACCTGCTTTCTGTATAAACTATGATCTTGTTTCCCTCCCTGTGTGTGGTGCACAGTGTGGAACTGCGTACACACATACAGCTAAGGACAGACTCTCGGGCTGCTTTCACATTTCACTGTGAAAACCAGCTGCAAAGCACAAAATATGTGAAATGCAGCAATGAGTGCATTACAGTTGACTCCTCTATTGAAGCAAATATTTACTGGTGTCACATCCAAAAAACCTTTGAAACAACAATCTGAACAGATTACGGCATCCTTCTACTGCCTCTCTGTGCTCTGTATAGAACAACTTTGTTTTGATGGAAGCTTACAGGCTACAAACTACAGGCAGCACAGTGTCTGCTGCACCAGCTGCAGCAAAAACCTACAGTGCCTGCAGCCGGTGCTGCTGTTTGCTTTAGCTGAGCCTGCACAGTGAGCCCTGCAGCTCCTCCGCTCCGATCCCTGCCGCTGAATTATTGAGATACAGAACACACACACACATACACAGAGTAAGAAAAAGAAGGAATAAGTAAGCTGGCATGCAGAGATATGCTGGAGGTATACACTGCAGTGAGTGGGTGTTTTCTTTTAAGAAGACTTTTTCAGAGCGATCGACATGTTGTACAGCAGGTTCACTAATGTTTCGGGATGTTTGTTTAGATGAGTCTACGTACACACATACTGTAACAGCAAATTCTTTAATAAAGATAAAAATTTGATCGAATGATAATTCTGTTACAACCAGATTCTATACTTATTGTACTTTTGGGCATCTCTGGAGCAGATTGATATTTTTCACCTGTGGGCACACAAGACATTAGAACCATATGTTGTTACAGTTATTTCAAGATAATGGTCGGGGATGGTGGGGGATGGTGTAAAGCAAATCCATTAAATAATCCATTTCATAACTTCCAGCTCTACTTTTGAAGTAGTACAGCACTACATGTTGTTACACTGTATGTTAACTACACACGCTTCATGTGTTAACATGACAGCTGTAATCATCAGTGCATCGCCTCACTCTGGTAATAATGGAATTATTAGAGTGCTTGTAAACACACTGAATTAATCTTGCTGAGATTTACAGTAACAGGGATGCTTATCGCCTTTGCTCATACAACAAGTAGTTTGTACAACTCCAAGCTCTGCAAACACCTCCCAACCTGAATGACAGATGGTGCTTAAAATAAAGTGATAGAGCAAGCAGAAGAAAAAAATAATAAAAAATGAAGAGATTATCGGAAAGCTGAGCACGTCATTGTCCTTCCCAAGAACACCTCCCCTCTCTCGTCTTTGGCTGGCTAAGCCACTAAACATCCAATTTTCCCCTGGGTTTGTCATGAAAGCGGCTGCTGATTGCGCTCTGAGAGTGGCTAATTTGTCAATTTGGAGATGGAAAAATCTCTCTCAAGGGTTTAGGAGACACGAAGAAGGAACAGATGAGCTATAGAATGTAAAGTTCTAAATTAGAGGTGCTGCAGTGCGAGCGTCGCAGCTGTGAGTGAAAGCAAGAACAAACACTTTTAACAGGCAAGAACACCTGACCTCCTGAACCTTGACTTTACCCACTGCGATTGATTAAGTAATAAAAACAACATTAAAACATTGTGATAGTGTCTCATCTGTTATCTGCTTGTCACACCACCTCGCTGAAGTTACATGAGCTCAGCGAAATGTAAACTGTACTTTTCAATGATGTGAGCACCACTAACAAAATTCCATTCACTTCCATTGTATTGAGTGGGAGGCAGAAACGGCTAATGGAGATCTTTCAAACTCAAAGCATGGCTAGATACCACTTATGACAAAACATATATATTTTTTGTAATTCAGCCCTAAAACTGTGCATAATTGTCTTTTAACTCGTGGTGGCATATTTGGAATCTTTAAAACCTGGGATTCTGAGCAGAAAATTTTCTGGTTTGAACAATGCTTTGTAGCCCAGGGTCACGCTGCCTACCTCTAAACTAAACTTAAACTCAGGGTCTCTGTGGATACCATGTAACAGTCTAATACCAGTTCCTTTGCCTTTATCTTGCTGTGTGTCTATTTCTCATAAACCACAACTTACCTGCTGAACTAATGATACATATCTGCTTCATGTTCCGTGTTTGTCGTTAATTAGCTGACAGTTATGTTTTCTGAGCAGTTATCCTTTAAAGGTTCAGTGTGTAATATTTCTGATGCTCTATTGACAGAAATGCAATATAAGATCCATAACTATGTTTTCAGTGCTGTATAAAGGTCGCCATGTTTCTATAGTAGCCCAAAACAGACTAGCACAGAGCGTGTTTCATCACTAAGTTGTTCTTCTTCTTCATGTATAATTCCGGCAGTGTAGATGCTCGTCACTACGTTGAATGCGTATGAAGAAGAAGTTATAAAAATAAACAGTCTCTGAGTAGTCATCTGGTTTATTAGAAGAAAGAACAGACGTGAAATTTGTACAAATGGAGGAGCACACCTATTATTTAGCATGAGCAGACGGAGCGTGAATCTTCATGATGAAGCTAGATGAATTGGGGACCAATGACGGCAGAAATCAAGGACATAATCGTTGTGGATTTTCCCAGATGGAAGGCTCTGATGTGGGACAGATGTTTTCAAAGCGGTGCTAAGGTTGCCTGTTTTCTGCTGGACAGGTAATTAAGTTAGTCCAAATGAAAATTATTTGATATCTTTAGCTAAGATGGGCATAATCACAGAGAGAAGTGTTTCTCTTGTCAGTGGTGTAAAATATGTAGTTGGATTGTAATTTCATGTAATGTCATTCTCCAATGCTGTGTTTTGGCTTTGCTAAGTGGACAGAAATGTGCTGGTTACGTTCACAAGACAAACAGCTGATGAATATTAATGGCAATAAAACGGTAGCAGACCATCCAGCTAAACTTCACATTTTACTGCCCTGGTGGAAAAAACTCATTTATTTTTACTGCTAACAACATTTCAATAATAAGACTGTGTGCCTATCAAGTGACCAAAAATACTTACTTTCAGAATTTGCAAAAAACAAACAAAACATATTTGTTTGTAGGCTATTGCTTTGCTACTGTGCACACAAAGGTGTAATTTGATAATTAACATAACAATAAAAAATACATTTTGGTAAGATTTGCAGATTGCTTATCTAATTATCGATAGATGTGGCAGTTTGGGACTGCATGACGTGCTGACGTATTGCGGTAAGCGTGTCGACTCATTTCCGTTTCCGGTGCTTGTGTGTTGGTACCGTGTTGTGCTGCTCTCGCTAAATAACAGTTACATTTGTTAGATTACAGCGGCCAACTGTTCGCTAAACACTTATTCTTTACAGTAATTTTGCCTAAGCACTCACAGTTCTTTCCATCTTTTAGTGACTGCTGTTCAATCTCATAGTTGTTCTAAAGTTTTGGTAACTGACGCTACAGTACTTTAGCTTAGCCGTTAGCGACTTTAGCTTAGCAGCTAGCGATGGCTTCTCCTTCTCCCCTCTCTCTCTCCTACTTTCTCCTGCTCGGTGTGTCAGATGTTTAGTTACTCCTCTGCCTCCTTTAGCGGTAATGGTACATGTAATAAGTGTAGTTTATTTATAGACATGGAGGCGGTGAGTTAGAAGTCCGGCTCCGCACCCCTGGTAGATCAGTCTTTAGCTACTGTAGCTAGCCAGTCCCCGGTAGTCGGTGCGGAACGGCCTGAGTTAGCCTCTGGTAGCCGTCCTCCGGCATCCCCTGTGCAGCCAGGAAAGGGGGGCTGGGTGACTGTCCGAAGGAGGAATAGTAAGCATTCAAAGTCCACGGGGCATCATCAACCTGTTCACGTTTCTAACAGATTTTCCCCACTCAGCGACACACCCGCTGAGAAACCAACTCTGATCATTGGCAGCTCCATTTTGAGAAACGTGAATTTAGCGAAGCCAGCGGCCATAGTTAAGTGCATCCCTGGGGCCAGAGCGGGCGACATTGAGTCTTATTTGAAACTGCTGGCTAAGGATAAACGTAAATACAGTAAGATTGTTATTCACGTCGGCGGTAATGACTCCCGGTTACGCCAATCGGAGGTCACTAAGATTAATGTTGAGTCGGTGTGTACATATGCAAAAACA